ACCATTTTGATAACTATAGACCGTAAGAAATAATGTAAGCAGTATAAACTACTATGCATTTTGAAATTATTTTGTGCATGATCGCTTGAAATCGTCGATGACTGGAAGTGGAAACTGGAATATTGGCATTCACCAGTCTCTGACTTGCCAACTGCTTACAGCTCATTAAAAATTAGTCTCTTTATGGTAATCGGTTGTACATTTGTGTACTTAGGTTAAACTTAAATGGATGTGTTGCAAACATATACACCCACTGCAGGAAATTGGCAGCGGGAACTTTGAGCCAGCACTCTACTAATATTGGTTAGTTTAGAGCACCTTATATCACCCGATATGCGTCAATTGGAATGCAGCCATCGTGACGGGTGACGACGGATTACATATGAACGTGGCCAGTAGTAAGGAGGTAAGCTTGAAGCTTGCAGCATGATCCATTGTGAAGATAAGTGGGTATTGATGCACCAGGAAGAGGGTTGATACTCTGCCTTCACTCTTCTGAGCCGCCCATCACGGCTCGAAAAAGCACAGCACCAACATCATGTAAAGTGTTATCAAATTTATGCAGGCATGAAGATGTTAGAAGGCTGAATCAGGGTCGTAAACCTGCACTAGCTTGAGGTACGTGACGTATTCAAATCTCCCTACTGTCATCAGACGCCATTAGGAGATAGCGTTGCACCGCTAAGCAAATCTGCATCCAGCAGCTGAGCTGGTAACCTAAGTTGACGCTCTCATTGGAAAAAACAACTACGCGGGGGAACTAAAAGACTTTGCAGGTTCGGGCTTTGTCGTCTCTGCTAGCACTTTAGAGCACAGAGTTCAGAAGTGTTCCCGAGGATCTATGTCGCAGGCCACATATTATATGCGATATTTGATGTCATAATATGTTGAAGGAGGGACGGAGCGCTACAGCATGTGCAATTTTGCTTCCTTAAGTTGCTGCCAAGGAAGGAGTAGATGATGGGTGATTGATAGATGGATCAGACTTTTCTATGTGTAGCGAAGTGCAGCTAATTAGAACGCATTATAGGTGGCATGAGCGTTTGAACTAGTGAAAAGGCAGCAACTGAGCGCAATCCATTTGTTGAAGAAGACTTATGTGCCATTAAAAGTGGTGCGTTGAGTTAAATCTCCTTTTCTCCTTGAATAAAGTTGAGTATAGCACCTACCGTTTATTCAATTCTTTTATATTCAATACTGTTCTGCTCTGATCAGTGCTGTTCTGGGTCGTGGGTGTGTGTTGGTGAAAGCAAAAGAATGACGCGAAGGAAGAGAGGACAATGCTACGAAATGAAGCAACAGACATGAAGTAAATGGATAGTGCACTCTGTGATCCATTTAGTCTGTGTCGGGTTTCAATGATGCAGATCCTGGAATGAGCTTTTATGCTGTTGTTTAGGAGATGCAGCAAGGCGAGTGCTTGTGTAGCGAGAACAGAAATGGCCAATATCAAACAGTTGTTCCAGTGTTTTCTTAATGCCACTGTTGTTCTAATTTGCTTTCAACGTAAACTCATGATGCACTAAGTAGCACATGATCCATGCGAATTGATGACGTAATGAGAGTCAAAAAGAGCAGTTGATAAAGTGTGATTCACAAAGTGCTTTTTAGCAACACTGACCACAATGACCGAAAGCAGCGGCGTAGTGAT